CCCCCCCCCGAGACGCCGGATAGTGGACCAGAATCGCCTAAAAGCTGCGCGGAAGTCATTCTCCATGGCCTCTCTGAACTCCTCCCATGCCCGAGTTTTTGCCTCATCGACCACAAGAGCCGCATGTCGCTTGGACTGCCGGTACCCATCAGCTGCTTTGGGGTCCCACAGGCCAAAAAGGCCTGATAGGACTCCTTTTCAGCCTGACAGCATTCCTCACCGCCGGTGTCCACCACTGGGTTCGAGGATTGTCGCAGCGACAGGCACCGACAACTTTGTGGCCGCAGCTCTGGTAAGCTGCCTCGACAATAGAGGCACGGAACATGGCCCACTCGGACTCAATGTCCCCCACCTCCCCCAGAACATGTTCAAAGTTATCCCGGAGGTGGGAATTAAAGCTCTGTCTCACAGGAGACTCTGCCAGAGGTTCTCAGCAAACCCTCACAATACATTTGGGTCTGCCAGGTCTGACCGGCATCCGCCCCCACCATCGGAGCCAACTCACCACCAGGTAGTGGTCAGTGGACAGCTCCGCCCCTCTCTTCACACGAGTGTCCAAGACATGTGGCTGCAGATCAGATGAGATGATGACAAAGTTGATCATCGAACTGCGGCCTAGGGTGTCCTGGTGCCAAGAGCACATATGGACACCCTTATGCTTAAACATGGTGTTCATTATGTACAATCCATGACGAGCACAGAAGTCCAACAACAGAACACCACTCGGGTTCAGATCAGGGGGGTCCGTTCCTCCCAACCACACCCCTCCAGGTCTCATTGTCATTGCCCACATGAGCATTGAAGTCCCCCAGCAGAACAAGGGGGTCCCCAGGAGGTGCACTTTCCAGTACGGTGGGATTATTTACATGAACGCTCCTACAAGCACTCTGCAGATGTTGGATGCTGTCTATCATAGTGCTCTAAGATTCATAACTCGCTGTAACTACCATACCCACCACTGCACCCAGTATTCACTGGTTAACTGGACATCATTAACTTCACGCAGACTCTCTCACTGGTACATTTTCATCTATAAATCACTTCTTGGTCTGCTGCCTTCATACATCTCCTCCTACATGTCTCTGCATGAGTACAGCTACAGCGTGCGCTCTCAGGACATTATTACCTGCAGTGTTCCCTCAGTGAGGACTGAACTTGGCAAAATGACCTTTTCCTACTCTGCTCCTGTTTCCTGGAATATTTTACAAAAAGATCTGAAGCTCTCGACCTTGACCTCTCTAAGTGGCTTTAAAAATCTGTTGGACTCCTGGCAAGGACCAATGCAGACATGTTCCTATTTTTAATTTTCTACATTTGCCTTATAATCTAGCTGTTTTTTTACTCTTTTTGTCATCTTGTTTGTAAAAAAAAAAAAAAAAACTATGCTTTTTTATAACTGTCTGTTGTTGTCGCTGTTGTCCATTGTTGTCATCATTCTTTGTTGAAATCAGGTCTCTCTTGTAAATGAGTCCTCGAGGCTCAATGGGATTTACCTGTATAAATAAAGGTTGATTGAATGAATCTGGTCAATGGCTGAGATGGGGTGCTCTGGACTTTGCTACGACTTTCTCTTAAAATTCAATGTTTTCACCGCCTATATGTACATGTATAACATCTATTTATGTTGCTTTGCTGTGGTATGTTTATTGATGCCTCAAATCATGCCCTGTCTAGGACACTGCGTGAGAGATCTTTTTTTTTTAATACCGTCTCTCCTCATGTTTTCTTCCCTTTTCTCATCTAAGCACAATATTATTCTGAATAAGAATAAGAGGGCGGCACTTTTCATAGTTGCAGCTTTTTGCACTCCGTCCATCTTTCGGACGACTGTACGTACATGTTCTCGTTGTATCTCGGTGCAATGATAATAAAGTTTATTCTGATTCAGCAGCATGAGATAATCAGTAGCATGAGATCAGTAGAATGGATAATCAGCAGCACAGATAAGTCACATATCACCGATTAAAGTGTCATCACAGTGATTCTCCTGGTTAGAGATTCATGAGTCCAACAGCCTCAGGGTAGAAGCTGTTCCACAGTCCAGTGGTTCTACACTTAATGCTCCTCAACCTCCTTCCTGAGGGGAGCGGGGCAAAAAGTGTGTGTACTAGGTGAGTGTGGTCTTTCATGATGCTGGTGGCCCTCTTCCTGCATCTGGAGGTGTAGATGTCTGTGATGGTGGGGAGACTGACTCCAACATCTTCTGTGCAGCCTTCACCACTCTCTGCAAAGCTTTTCTTTCTGCAGCTGTGCAGTCTCTATGTCACACGTTGATGCTGGAGCACAGGATGCTCTCCACTGCACACCTGTAGAAGGAGGTGAGGACTGAGCTTCCCAGACAAGCTCGTCTCAGCCGCCTCAGGAAGTAGAGTCTCTGATGAGCTTTCTTGATCAGGCTGGTGGTGTTGTTTCCTCAGCTAAGGTTGTCATTTAGGTGCACACCCAAGTTCTTATAGCTGGAGACCACTTCCACCACAGATTATCCTATTTTTTTCCTCCCCCTTGGGGGGTGGGGTGCTCCATCTGAAATCCATAACCATCTCCTTTATCTTCTTCACATTGATGTGAAACTTGTTCTTCCTGCACCAGCTCTCCAGATGTTCTACCTCCTGCCTGTAGCTGGACTCGTTGTTTGTGATGCATCCCACCACCGATGTATCATCTGCAAACTTTACAATGTGACAGATGGGGAGGTACGCAGTCGTATGTGAGCAGAGTGAACAGGAGGAGACTCAGCACACAGCCCTGAGGAGAGCCAGTGCTGAGGGTTATGGTGGAGGAGGAAAAGTTGTGGATCCTCACAGACTGTGGTTTGTTTGTTAAGACGTCTAGGACCCAGTTGCAAATGGAGGGGCTTAGTCCTTGTATGAGTATTTTGTCCATCGGGATTTGTGGGATCATAGTGTTGAAGGCAGATGTGAAGTCCACAAATAGCATATGGACGTAGGAGTCCTTCTGCTCTAGGTGGTTGTGAGCAGTGTGGACCACAGAGGAGATGGTGTCCTCTGTTGATCGGTTCTCACGGTATGCATACTGATGAGGGTCCTCGTTGATGTTGATGGTTGTTTTGATGTGGGTCATGACCAGTTTTCTGAAGCATTTAGCGACTATCGGGGTGAAGGCCACTGGCTGATAGTCATTCAGACCAGTCACTGTAGAGCTCTTTGGGACTGGGATGATGGTGGCGGTCTTCAGGCAGGTGGGAGCTGTTGCCAGTGTAAGTGAGAATTTAAAGATGTCGGCCTGCACCTCGCAGAGCTGATCGGCACAGTCTTTCAGCACCTTCCTGGGGATATTGTCTGGGCCAGTTGCTTTGTGAGGATTTATCCTCCTGAAAGTACTCCTTGCTTCTGCTGAGGTCACACTGAGAAACTTCTCTTCTGGTGGTGAGGTGAGTCTGGTGCTGGGTGGTCTGGTTGGATCTTCAAAGTGGGCTTAGAACCTTTCAGTTTGCATACCTCAAAAGCTATGTAGCTTATTTCTCTCAACTTGATATTTGATACTCAAATTTAGATTAACATGCACACCAAGTTAATGTTTGGTGTAGGGGTGGTAGTTATACATTAACAGTTCTTTGAAGTATTTACTCTCTTCGGTCCCTTCCATGTTTTGTGATCCAAAGAATCGACAAAGGAGACAGTCAAAGTAAATCTGAGGAATAAGAGACTGGCTTGTCTCAAGAGAGGTGCCCCGGCTTCCTTTGTCGATGTGTAGTGAACTAGACCTCCTACATCAATATGTCTCTGAAGACCTTCAGGGGACAGGAACTGTTATTTCATTTATTTGAATCCAAAAATACAAATGATCTCATCAAGAGACTATTTAATTGTATCCTGAATTAATCAATTGAAAGAACACTCTTCTTTTTTATATTATCATTACTATTTTACAATATCTTGATAATCGAAAGTGTGTTTAGTTCATACCATTTCTAATGTTGAAGTAAACTACTCATTTAAATCAACTGTGAAACAGTATTAATGATTTTTAAACCTCATTAGACCTAGATCATACAAGTTAAATGTCTATTTACAAAGTAAGTGTGCATTTTAATCTTCTGTCTGAATGAGAAGTGGATTTGATGTCGGTCAAAAGTCAGAGAACAAGTTATGAGAACGAAGTGCCTTGTTTAAAAACTCTCAGACAGTAAATAAGAAACTGGCGCCTCTCACTTCTTCAAAATATTTTCCCGTCTGTACTAACCGTTCTTAAAAACATTTCTGCTGTCTGTTGACTTCTAATAACCCTCTGACATCACTAAAACTCCACCCCTGCTGGTTGTGTTAACCAATCAGGAAGTACCAAGTGACAGGAAGTGGATACCCTTGAAAAGTCAACACTTCTTGGAACTATTCAGTCTTCCTGGAACTTTAAGTCTTACTGGAGTCTTCCTGGAACTTTCAGTCTAAGATGAGACTCAGTCTTACTGGAAGACTCAGTCTTATGGCGAGTCGTACAGGAACTTTCAGTTTTCATCCATTCCAGCGGAGTCACAGCATGCCTCGCTGTGAACTCACCCGGGCGTAACGCCCTACAACTTCTAATGAAGATTCCTTCTAAGGAAGCTTATTCTGTTGAACAGAGTACTTCGTCATGACTTCTGACGATTCCCAGCCACTCTGACCGGAGACGCTGAAAAGGGAGCGTTAAATGGACCTCTGTACCGGAGCTGATTTATCTTCTGCAAAGGTAAAGAGTCGTCATGATCTGAGTGTACCGAGGGCTGAGCTGGGGTCGAAGGAAGGGTGCCATTCCGGATCAACACATCTTCCTTCATCCATCTAAATCCTCTTCTTTAAACTTCAATCTCTTCTCTTTAAACTTCTATTCGCCAGTAAATCAAGCTAGATGCCTTCAGAGATGAATTATTCTCCATCAGTAATCCTCTGTTGTCTTGTTATTTGAACTTGCTAAGTTTATTAATCAGAAACAGATCAGCAAATCAATGTGTACATGTTTGATGTTAAATTTTGATTCTGTTAAATAAATGACCTCATTTATTCTGATGGGTCAAAGATAAATTACGTCTCATGTCACTAATTCTACACTCCACTCTCAAGTTATCTTGGTCACATGGCAGAAATTTAACTTGAAAAAGAAAGAATCCATTGTTAATTAAACAATTAATATTCTTTGTGCTTGAACTAGCCTTAAGAATAATTAATTAGTAGTGTGTCCACAGCAAAGCTGTCCTGTCATACTAAAGATGTGAGCTTTCTTGATGAATTTGTTGTTTGTCCATCAAGGTTTTTCATTAGCACTTGACCTGACCCCTCCCCTGAGGCCAACTTGCAAAGGGTGAGCTTTCCTGGGATTGATGCCTTGAAAACATAGGACCCTGGACCACTGGTGTACTCAGACCCCTCCATCACGTGGTGGTGACATTCATGTTTACATTTGCTCAAATTTTATATAAAGTTAACAGAGGACCCCAAAATTTGTAAAATCAAGGACTCACTCAGTTTTAAATTCTTCAGTTTAAGTTTATTCATCAAATACAAATGGGGACAGTATTCTCAAATGAAAAAAAAAACATGCTTAGCCACTGGCTAATTTCCATTTGTTGTACTCATGGCAGAAAAAAATTACTATGTAAAAACACAACAAATAATCTAAACAAATACAGAATACAATGTATAAAATATCAAGTTGATAACAAAAACATCCAAAATACAAAAAAGTTAACTTAATAACAAAGTTGAAACATCTCAATTCAATTTATCTCAGAAAGTGAACTAATGTTAAATTTCTGAATAAATAAATGAAACGGCTGAAAGATAATATTCTGTTGTTCAGTTTTGTCAGTATTGTTTGAACATTTTTTTTTCCTTCTAAAATAGTAAATAAAAAATGTCATTCTAAAATCACTATGAAGTCTATCTTGTTCTTTAATGGCCATTGATTAAATAAAGGTAATTTATTTAAAGCTATTTGCAAAATAAACAGTGAACTTGAAAATGCACGGGAAGGAACAATGTGCTAAAAAAATCCAAGGTTTTTCAAAGTGTTCAAATCACAAGAAATCTTCAGTCAATAACAGAAAAAAGCAAACATAAAATAAAAAAGCAGGACCACGGTTAAATTGTTAAAAATAAATTTGAAAAATTTGGTCAAAATTTTTATGTATGACGAGTGCACCTAATACTTCTTCATATATAATAAAACAAGTTAAATATTGGTAGGAATTTAGTGTTCGATTCCTAATACACGAATTTGAACAGGAACAAAAACTAATTTGACTTTTTAAATTGTAATCTTTGTAGATAGACACTAAATATATGCCATCCATTGATTATCTTTACCCACTTCTTCCTTTCCAAGTCATGGGGGCCCCTGGTGCCCATATCCAAAAGTCACTGTACAAGAGGAGGGGGAAACCCTGGAAAGATTGCAAATCCACCAAGCCACAATGTCGTATAAATATATCGCAGCAGAAAGATTTTATTTCAGTGTTCATGATGACAAAATAAAAACAAAAGAGTGAATGTATATTTGTAGAAAATAATTATGTAAATATCTCGCATTACATCAGTTACTTTAAAGCATCTTAAAATAAGCAGATTTATTCAAATGTTTGGAACCATATTTTTACAAAAATGTTTCATGCCTCATTTCTTCTCTCTGATTTCCATCATAACATATTTAAATCAGAGGAGCCAGTCTTGAGCACTTGAAGAGTAAAAATAAGTCTAACAGATCTTCTAAACCATGGGTAAAAAAAGGCATAGATTAGTGGGTTAAGAAAGGAATTAAAGTAGAACAGACACACAACAAAAACCACAGAAGACGTGTTGATTGAGCTGTTCTGACCTGCAAGTGTTACACAGAAATATGGACAAAGACAAACAAGAAACACAAGCACAACAACCCCAAGAGTCCTGGCTGCTTTAATTTCTGACTTCTTAGCAGTTACTTTCCCTGGATGTTTGTGTTTGATAGCTGCATTTTGAGTGTGAATGGCCCGAACCTGAGACAAAACCACAATAAAGACTCTCATATACAGAACGATGACAACAGTAATGGGAATAACAAAAGTAAAACAAAGACTAGAAACTTGTTCTATGAAGCCTATATTAAACACACATTCTCCAAAACAAGTATTAAATCTGCCTGGATGTTTCAAGTTTTCCTTGCATATAACAACAGCATAACAGATTGATGAGGTCCAACACAGTGAAACACAAATCTGAACTTTCTTTGTAGTAACGTTGCTGGTATAGAGAAGAGGATCACAAATGGCTATATAGCGATCAATTGAAATGAGCACCAAATTTCCTATTGAGGCAGATGTTATAATTATGCCTAAAACCACAAACAGAACACACATTACATCACCAAAATACCAACAACCATCTAAAAGCATAATCTGAAATAACAAAAGGAGGCCAACAAAAAAATCTGAGACAGCCAGAGAGAGCACGAGGAAGTTCGTTGGGGTGTGAAGCTGCCTGCAGATAAAGAGAGACATTTTTACCTACAAATTATTTGTAATGTTTATTTTTATTCAGGTAAGTAAACTTCATTTTGAACATACTCACTCAAAATGTTTTAATCAAGCCTACATCCTGTCATATCTTTTTGTACAATATTTTTGAATGGTTTCTAGTTATCAGCTATGATGAAAGAAGTGACTACCTGAAGTGTGAGACAGAGATTATAACCAGTAAATTTAAAACTGCAGTCATCAAAGAGATTAAGGACAAAATTATATAGGCAGGATATAAATGAGAGGCAGAAAACTTTGGTTTTCTGCAAGAGATGTTGAGAAGGTGAGGAAAGCAGAGATCTTCTTCCATTGTCAGAGCAAAGAGGAGCTCTGTTGAGCTCTGACAGCATTCAGACTAAACCTAAGATGCTATAAATTATCCAGCAGTTATGGACCTCCTCTAACCCTCCTCCAACTTGAGTTCCCAGGGACCTACATCAGAATATTGTTTGGATTACTGCTCAGCCTTCATCACCACCATCCCTGATATCCTGATGAGGAAGCTGTCAGATCTGGCCTTACCCGTTACCATTTGTATCAAAGGCTTCCATACTGAGTGACCGCAGCTTGTGAAGCATGGTCAGCACTGATATGGTCTGTGGTTTGTGTTGGACCCACGTGCAGGCAGACACAGAGGTTAAAAATAAAGTTTCTATTTATTTAACAAAAACAAAACAAGAGCTGATGCGGCAACAAAAAAATATTTGGGAGAAAGAAGCTATGGAGGAACAGAATATGACAGGCTGGGAAGTACAAGAATCTAAAAAGAACAAAATACAGATTCCCACGGGGGGGGGGGGGGTACTGTGGGAATCTGTATTTTGTACAGGCCGACATCTATAGCTTGGGTGGGAGGAGAGAGGAAACGACGGTGGGCACAAGGAGAAAAACAAGTACCAAAGAACAGAAAACAGACAGGGTCAGAACCTGAGAACCAAAATACAAAAAGAAAAAAAACGCCAACCCCAAGTGTTCAGGTGGATGACCAGGAGACCCTCCAGAGTGGGACAGGTGTTCAGGCAAGTGGCCCGGAGACTGTCCAGAATGGGAAAGGAGCTCTGGCAAGTGATTCGGAGACCATACTGAATGGGGCAAGATTTCCAGCAGGTGGCCAGGAGATCATTCAGTACGGGACAAGAGTTCCAGCAGGCAGCCAGGAGACTATCTCCTGGACACCTGGATCCTCTCTTAATCAGGTGAACGAGAGTTGAATAGGTCATGGAGAAGACTGCAGAGGTAAGCAGAAAAACCACTGGGGGGCTGAGGCAGCATGTGGACAAATCACAAGAGCTGCCAATATCGACATGTCAGAAGAGGGTGCTGCAGATGTCAACACATTGAGAAGGGTGAAGAGGGGGAAGACTTCACCACTTGCTCTTGTCAAGGTCGGACGCTTTTCCCCTCCCCTTCTTCTCCGCTTTGCTTTGCTGCTCTGTCTTTCAGTGAAACTGCTTCTGAGCCTCCCTTGCTTATCTTCCGGACCATTGTTGTGGTCAGTTGCTCCCTCAGCACAATTGATAACATTTCTTTGAAGAGAAGACAGGCTTAAGGCGAGCCGATTTGCCCTATTGGCATGCATGCAGCTGGATATCTCATCGACTTGAAGATTTGATGATGTGTCTATCTCTGCTGCCCTTTGTGGATTTTAAGGACGCATATTTGATTGGATTTACGATAACTGGTTTTTGCTTTTTGGAATCGGCTGGTTGCTGGTTTTATCTACAATCAAGGAAGTCGTCGGCAGCAAATTGGGACCCGATCACGCTGCTTGCCTTTATGATGGCTTGGTTCGTGCCTCAAGTACCCAGACTCAAATGCTTTGGGCAGAATGGATCAGATCTTGGAGATTTTACTCAGGCATGTTCCATCGGTGTGGCCATGTAATTTGGATATTTCGGAACCGTTGGGACCAACACAGACTCAAGGTAGATGTCATTAAGTTCTGCCTGTCCCCAAAACAACTGTGTGTTTATCTGAATTTGACTCCCCTGGCTGGCCTTGAAGGCCACCTTATCTGAATTTGCCTGGAGAACATGTGATCTGACTATGCTACAACTTTTCCTTAAAATTCAATGTCTTCACCGGCCTATATGTTCATGTATAATGTCTGTTTATGTTGCTTTGCTGTGGTAGGTTTTTTTGATGCCTCAAATTGTGCCCTGTCTAGGACACAGTCTGAGAGATCTTTTTTATATACTGTCTCTCCTCATGTTTTCTTCCCTTTTCTCATCTAAGCAAAATATTATTCTGAATAAGAATAATGAGGGCCGCGCTTTCTATAGTAGCAGCTTCGTGCACTCCGCCCCTCTTTCAGACGACTGTACGTACATGTTCTTGTTGTATCTCGGTGCAATGATAATAAAGTTTATTCTGATTCTGATGTTGATTCTGAGATAACAAAAAAGGTTAAATCATGTCATCTGGACCAGTTTATTTAAGGGAGTTTGGCTTGAAACACAACAACAAAGGCTGCTTATGGGACAGATCTAGTTGGCAGGCCACAGAATGATGAAGTCTTCTGGATTTTTTTTCTTCCTCCCTGGCTGTGATCGAGGTGGCTGCTTCTGGCTTTCCTTTCCCGTTTTTATTTCCTCCTGCTCTGCTCTCTGTGTGTCTGAGGTGCCTGGTTCACATCTCCCGAACGTAAATTAAGAACATTATGGATCTGGTATCCTGGATGTTCAACTCTATTGATAAGATTTTTGCATCAAAGCGACAAGGTCCTGGAGAACCTGCGTGTCCAGTTGAGACGTATACTGTGGGGTACATCCTGGATCCATGGAGAGTGTGGCAGCTGATGTGTTTCTCAGTCCTGTCTCAGGAGGATGTTGAAGATGTTTACATATTTGGAATTATGATAGCAGGGACTTTGCTTTTTGGCATCGGTGGGGCTCTGTTTTATTGACTTTTGAAGAAGACATTGGCAGCAGTTTCGGTCATGGCAAAGCTTCCGAGTCAGTGTGAAGGTTTGGTCCGTGCTGTAGGAACTCTAAATCAACTGGTTTACAAGCTAAACCATAAGGTGGTGTGGGGTTTTGGTTCTGTCTCTGTCTGTTTCCTCATGTTTCCAGCCCTCAGTGTTTTCCCTCGTGTTCAGCCCCTGTCTCACCTGTGTCTAATGGTAATCACTGCAGGTGTCTGTCATTGTCCTAATCAGTGTGTGTATATATTCAGTTCACTGGTGTCCTGTCTTTGTCTCGGGATTATCCTTATGGTATGTGTTCTGCCTTCTGTCCTGTCCTGTTATCAGTAAGTAAGCTGCCCCACCAACCTTTGCTTTGTTTTTTGTATAATAAATATTTTGATTTTCCACGAGCCTCCTGTCATCCTCCTGCAATTGGATTCAACACTCCTGGCTTTGCGTGACAGAATCCCGAGACCAACTTTGAACCCAGCGGGAGGATGATTATGTTTTTGGCTCGTGAGGTGGATAAGACTGCTCAATGAGACAGAGAAAAGGAGGAGAGGAGGAAGAATCCATTTTAGGGGACCCGCCTGGCCAATAAACCTGGGTCCTCAGCCTCACAGCCTCTCCATCCCTCTCCGCCTTGCAGCGCCGCTGCACCCCGCTGCCCGCCTCCTCCTCGCTCTCCACCTGGCTGTCCCAAGCAATCGTCAGAGAGAAAGGGGCAAACCGCTGGTCCTCCCCGCACCCAGCGCAAGATGGGGAGAACCTCATGAGCAGAAGAAAAGCCCAGCCCTCAGTCGCCGGAAGAACGGCAGAAAACTTTGATGGGTGGGAGGTACCTGTGTCCATCAGAGGAGCAGCCCAGTTCTCCCTCGCCGAAAGAGCTAGAATGGTGGCAGGCTTCTATAGTGGCAACATATCTGGCTCCGTTTCAGCTCTGCCACGAGGAGACCTAGGTGGACGCTCCTCACTCGAGTCTTCCAGATGGGTTCACGGCTCCATCTCCTGCGGGAGCCCCAGTTCCGCCACCTGCTGTTGCAGCTCTGGTCCCCAGTTCTCCTGCTGCAGCCCCGACTCCAGGCTCTCCCGCTGCAGCTCTGGTCCCTGGTTCTCCTGCTGCAGCCCTGGCCTCCGACTCTTCTGCTGCAGCCCTAGTTCTGGTTCCTGACTCTCCAGCTGCAGCCCCAGCCCCTGGTTCTCCCACTACAGCCCTGTCTCCATCACCACCTGCTGCAGCTCTGATCCCTGGTTCACCTGCTGCAGCCACGTTCCCTGGCTCCCCCAGCTGCAGCCCCGTCTCCAGTCCCTGGTTCCCCAGCTGCAGTCCCGTCTCTGGCTCCCCAGCTGCAGTCTCGTCTCTGGTCCCTGGTTCTCCAGCTGTAGTCCTGTCTCTGGTCCCTTGTTCTCCAGCTGCAGTCCCGTCTCTGGTCCCTGGTTCTCCAGCTGCAGCACCATCTCCGGTCCCTGGTTCTCCAGCTGCAGCACCATCTCCGGTCCCTGTTTCTCCAGCTGCAGCCCCAGTCCCTGGTTCCCTTGCTGCAGCCCCAGTCCCTGGTTCTCCAGCTACAGCCCTGTCTCTGGCCCCCGTTCCTGGCTCTCCTGCTGTAGTCCTGGTCCCCGACTCTCCTGCTGCAGCCCTGAATCCACCACCCACCACCTGCTGCAGCCCTGACTCCACCACCACCTGCTGCAGATCTGGTCCCCTGCTCTTCTCCTGAGGCCCCCAGCTCATCTGAGGTCCTCGCTCCTGGCTCTTTGGCTGAGGTCCTCGCTCCCAGCTCGTCTGCTGAGATCCACTCTACCACAGAAGATCCTGGCTCTTCAGCTGAGGTTCTCACTCCTGGCTCGTCTCTGGAGGTCCTCACCACTGGCTCGTCTTCGGAGGTCCTCGCTCCTGAGTCGTCTTCGGAGTTCCTCGCTCCTGAGTCGTCTTCGGA